TTTTATTGGAAGAAAATTCCACTTGAGGCTGTTGTATTTTTCACCTTACATTTTATGTGTATGTGTCCATTTCAAGTGTTAAATTGCAGCAAGAGCTTAGAAAAATGTTCGCAAGGAACGTTTCGATGCTTACTCCTGTGCCTCCATTGCACTGGGCTGGTAGGGCAAAGGGCCGGGAATGAAAATTTAGATTCACGCACTAGCCTTTTAAGATCTGTCAGGGTAATGATCCTGAGAAGACTTCCAAATATATCTGAGGAGCTAGTGGAAGTATTATGAGACTTGATGAACAAACACGTAGAGTAAGAACTCATCTGCAGTATCAGTGTAGACCCAACCTTATTTTCCTTTGGTTATGTCCCCCTCATCATGTCTAAGGGGAGAAGTGCAGAAGAGAAAATGGTGGATAGTTCTGACCAGTCTACTAAAGCAGAAAATAATTCCATGGTCTATCTACACTTGCAAATGGGCCTTTCTAAAATACCGAGGAGAGTGTGCAGTAATTTCTTGTGGCCTTTGAAAATACTCACTCCATTGCTGATGGGAATGAAAACTTGTATAACTACTCTGGAAATCAGTATGGCGGTTTCTCAGAAAATTAGTAACCAACCTGCCTCAGGACCCAGCAATACCACTCTTGGGCATAAACCCAAAAGATGCTCAATCATACTACAAGGACATTTGTTTTACTATGTTCATAGCAGCATTATTTGTAATAACCAGAAAGTGTAAACAACCTAGGTGCTCCTCAACCAAAGAATGGATAAAGGAACTGTGGCACATTTACACATTAGAGTACTACTCAGCAGTAAAATAACAATAACATTTTGAATTTTACATGCAAACAGATGGAACTAGAAAAAAAACTATCCTGAGTGAGATAACCCAGACCCAAAAAGATGAATATGGTATGTACTCACTCATACGTGGATACTGGCGATAAAATAAAAGGATATTGAGCCTATAGTTCATGATCCTAGAGAAGGTAAGTAACAAGGTAAACCCCAAGAAAAACAAATATAGATCCACCTGGAAAGGCGAAACAGACAAGATAGTCTGGCTGAAGAAGGGAGGTAGAAGGGAAGAGGAAGAGAGAAGGGAAGGGGCAAGGACAACTTGAGGGAATGGGATAGTGGAGATGGAGGACGGACAAGGATGAGAGCAAGGAAAGAGCAAGGAAAGAGATATCTTGATCAAGGGAGCCATTATGGAGTTAGCAAGAAACCTGGCTCTAGAGAAATTCCCAGGAATCCACAAAGATGACCCCCAGCTAAGACCCTAAGCAATAGAGTAGAGGGTGCCAGAACTGGCCTTGCCCTGTAGTCAGATTGATGAATATCTTAAATGTTACCACGAAGTAGACAAAATTGGCGAATAGGGGTTGGGAGCACGGGGGTGGGGGGATGGGGGGATAAGGGGAGATGGGGAGAGAGAAGGGAGAAGGGGAGTATGGGGAGAACTTGAGGGAATGGGATGGTTGGGATGGAGGAGGGGTGGATGTGGGAGCAGGGAAGTAGATATCTTAATTAAAGGAGCCATTTTAGGGTTGGCAAGAGGCTTGACTCTGAAGGGGTTCCCAGGTTTCCAGGGAGATTCCCCAGCTTGTTCCTTGGGCAGCTGAGGAGAGGGTGCCTGAACTGGCCTTATCCTATAGCCACACTGATGAATATCTTGCATATCACCATTGAACCTTCATCTGGAGATGGATGGAAATAGAGACAGAGACCCACACTGGAGCACTGGACTGAGCTCCTAAGGTCCATATGAAGAGCAGAAGGAGGGAGAACATGAGCAAGGAAGTCAGGACCGCGAGGGGTGCGTCCACCCACTGAGACAGTGGGGACTGATCTAATGGGAGATCACCAAGGCCAGTTGGACTGGAACTGATGGAGCATGTGATCAAACTGGACTCTCTGAATGTGGCTGATGGTGGAGGCTGAGGGAGAAGCCAAGGACTGGGTTTTGATTCCACTGCATGGACAGGCTTTGTGGGAGCCTAGTCTGTTTGGATGCTCACCTTCCTGTACCTGGGGGTAGTAGGGAGGACCTTGGACTTCCCATAGGGTAGGGAACCCTGACTGCTCCTTGGACTGGAGAGGGAGGGGGAGGGGGTGGGGGAAGGGAAGGGAAGTGGGAGGAGGTGGAAATTGTCAATAAAAAAATAAATAAAAAAAAACCCTTAATCCAGCAACTGATGGAAACAGAGGCAGAGACCTGCATCGGAGAACTGGACTGAGCTCCCAAAGTCCAGTTGAAGAATGGGAGGAGTGAGAATATGAGCAACGAGGTCAAGACCATGATGGGGACACCCACTGAAACAGTTTACCTGAGCTAATGGGAGATCACCAACTCCAGGTGGACTGGGAAGGAACAAGGATAGGATCAAACTAGACTCTCTGAATGTGGGTGACAGTTGTATGGCTGGGGCAGACTGAGTGGCCACTGACAGTGGCACCAGGATTCATCCCTACTGCTTGGACTAGGTTTTTGGGATCCTATTTGGATGTATTCCTTGCTCAGCCTAGGTATAGTAGGGAGGGCCTTGGACTTTCCCCAAAGCAAAGTACCTTGCCCTCTCTTAGGATTAGAGGGGGCTGGGTTGGGGGGGTTAGGTGGAAGAAATGGGAGGAGGGCAGGGAGTGGAAACTTGGATTGGGTATGTATAATGAAAAAGAGTTCGTTTTCTTTTTAAAAATAAAAATAAATACATAAATAATAAAAAGTAAAAATACTCCCCAGTGGATTTAGTGGCATGGAAATTTGCCTCATTTTATTTGGGGAGGTTGCTACTTGGAAAAAATGGAAGACTGTTTATTGGTTAAAATCTATTTGGAAGACTATTCTTCCTTCCAGTGTGGGGAAGAGAATACTAGTCTCATTTGCTCTTTCCACTGGCTAGCATTTTCAAGCAAGAGATAATGTTGAAAGTATCGTGTTCACCAAATGCTTACATTCCTTACGGTGCCCCATAATTCTTGATCAAACAGTTATTCTAGCGACTCCAGAGCAATAAAGCAGGGCCAGCAAAGCCTGGACGTCCCACAGGACAGGTGGATCACAATGGTGGACAGAGGTGAGAGAACTGGTGTTGCCCAAGTTTAGTATAAAGACTCCTTTGTTGAGTCACTGACATCAGTTCTTCATTTGTTGGGTCACTGGGCATAAAGTTATATAATTCAGCCTTGCCCTTCTAGTCTCCCATGGTAGGCAACACCTCTTTAGTGTTCTGTGGTGGTTCCTGCACTGGCAAAGCCACTTCCCAGATGCCAGACAAGTCTGACTTTTTACAGTAGTTCAGGGAATTTGGCAACTATGAAAGAAGGTGTGGGAGAAGTGGTTAGGAATTCATGAGGTAACTAGGAAGTCCTTCTTGTTTTGACTTACGCTAGGATCCTAGTCATAACTCTGAAATGTCAGACAGTGTCCCTACACATTGTCCTGGTGACTTTCACAATTCTTGCCAAATGCCATTGTGGAGTTTTTTCAATTATGTGAATGGTAGTCTGTGCCCAGTCTTCTCCTAACCATTGCTGGCCTGCTCTTATTATTTTGCATTTAACACGCAGAGATTGATTTCTTGCCTAAAATTAGTTGAATTCTATTTGGCAGTATTAAAAAGTATAATTAGCCTGAGAATTCACTCCACTCCTCAACCTAACTTAAATATGTCCCGCAATGCTTGTGCACTTTCTGTAGAGCTTACAGAGCTGAGCTCTAGGCTGAAGCAGTTGATTGCATGCAGGAAAGCAGCCATGAATTGCTATGAGTTCCTCGTGGACGATCCTGCATATGTGTGTGTTATCATCTACAATTGTCCTCATAAAATTAAAAAAAAGCACGCGTTTATTATTGTGGGGCTCCAATTAAGAGACAGCTGGTGCTCTTATTACGCTTGTATTAAATTGAAACTTGTAATTTAGATGCCCAGATGCACATTTTTAAATCAAAGTATAAAATCGCATTCGCTTTGTCCATTTTCTGTTCAGAAGTATCTGGCATCTTACCTCAGGGCTCCTCCTACCCTGTAAAACTCCCTTGAAGTAGGGGAAGCATTTCCTCTGATTAACGTTTTTCCTCTCTCGAGTTTTTAGAGGGAAATAGAAGATCTGGGCTTTTACTGAAAGGAGGAGACCCAGGAAGGCACAGGTGAGTGTTTAACCCTTTGTGAGTTGATATCCCTATCGATCGAGGTCCTGTTGGAATTCCCTACTTCCCCTCACCTGTCTCGGAAGTTCTAGAAACCTAGAACTTCGCGCTACACAGCGCACTGTGTCGCCTTTCTCCTTGGCACTTCGCCGCCGCCGCCGAAGCTCTAGAAACTTTGGGGCGGCCCAGCTCTCGCCACCAGGGTAAGAACAACACGCTTCCCTCCAGCTTTGCTTTTGTGCATCCCAAGCGGTATGATTTGCTGTGGGTCCTCCCCATACCCCCCCAGGCACAGGTCCCAATGACACGACAAAAGGCCCCTTGGGCGAGGCGGGCTGGGGCAGGCTGGCGTCCTGGAGGGGCGAGGCGCCACACCCCCTCGGGAGGAAAGCCCCTGCCGGCCCGCTGGGGGGTGCTGGGCGGGGGGAGCCGGCGCGAATGGCCGAGTCACACAAAGACTCGAGTTCACGACGCAAGTGCGTCCTCCAGGAAGAGGGTGCCCCCAGTCGGTGCGCGGTCGGGAGCGCGAAAGTGCGCCCCTCCAGGAAGAAGGTGCCCCCGCTCCGAGCGCCACTTTTTATTTTTTTGGCGCTCTTGGCGAGCGAGCCGCGAGGAGGCGGAAGACAGTCCCGGGCCGGCGCGGGAATCTGAGCCAGCAGGCGCCTGAGTTGCTGCGCGTGTCGCCCTGCCGGCGAGCCGCCACTGCGGTCGCTCCCTCGTCCAGGTAAGGTGGGAGGGTGGCGGTGGCAGGCGGCCGAGGACAAGGCGACAAGGCGACCGGCTGGGCTGAGTGGCGCTACCTGGCCAGGCGGGGCGGGGCCGGCCCGAGGAGGGCGGGTGAGGACGGCCGCTCGCTCTCTCGCTCGCTCGCTCGCTCCGCTGGCGGCGCACCACTCGCTGCCTGCTCACGGAGTTGGGCGCGAGTTGCCTTTTTGGCGCCTAAAGAAGAAATTCGTCGCCGTCAGAAGCAGCAGCCGAGTTTTCTCCGCGAGGCCCCGGCGCAGCTGGCACTGCGGAAGCCCCGAGCGTCGGGTCACCCCGGTAGGGTGGACTTTTGGGGGTGGATGCACGGTGAAGGGGTACGGTGCCGGGGCGCGGGGGGGGGGGGGGTGGGTGGGAGAAGCCAGGACACGCCTTTGCCTGGGGGTCTGCTTGGGGTTGCGGGGTGGGGGGTGAGAAGGGGGGGCGATTGCCAGGGCAAACGCGAACCTCGGTGGAAGCCCCCCTCCCCCGCCGCTGGCCCGGTGGCCCGGGAGGGAGGGAGGCTCGCTAGGCGCCCCGCCGCCCGCGGGGGAACTGAGCGCTCAGAGGTGTGCTGGGCGAGGACGGAACCAAGCGGAGGCGGCGTGGGGGGGGGGGCAGGGGGTGAGGCCGGGCTCCCGGGCCCCTCCTCCAGCCAGCGGGCCACCGGCGGGGACAGGGGTGGGGGGGCACGGAGGGCACGCCACGGACTAGCCTTGTTTTTCCGCTGGAGGCCGAAGCGTGGGCGTGGGGGCGGGGACGGGGGGGGGGAGATGGCACCTCGGGGGGTTGTGGTCAGGCTCCTCAGAGTCCCCAGTGCCTGTTGCTGGACTTGACATTGGACACCCCGCTGCCGCCGCTCGACTCGGAGGCCAGTGGCACGTCCCGGCCAGAAGTTCTGGAGGTGGGGCGGGCTTTAATTTGCTTATATCTAATGATTTCAGGAACCTCGCTTTAAAATGGCGGCATCCACTAGACACCCCTGCTAAAGGCTCTCTCGGCCCCGGGGCCACCTCACGCAGGGCTGCTTTTTTTTTCTCTTGCTTCTCCCGCTAACAGATGGCATGTGCCGCTGTTAGCTGCCTCTGCCCCTACCGCTGCCACTGAGAGCAAGGGCCCCTTAGCCTCTGGGTTTGTGCTAGCGACAGAAGGTAAGGCTGGACAGGACTTGGGGTTCGCGACACTGGCTGCCTGGCTAAGACGCCAGGGAAATGCGCTGCTTTTTAAACTTTTTCCACTCCGGCGAAATGGCAAGTAGAAGGGAAATTAACACTGCAACTTGTTGCGTTATTATTTTTTAAGTTTTGCTTTTTCTCTTTTCCGTCTCTTTCCTTTCTTCTTCCTTCTGCTCTTTCTTTTTTAATTGAAAGGAACTTCTTGCATGGCATGGCATTACCAAACCCTTTCCGATAACAACTAACTTTCCCATTTCCGTGGGATGCTGCAGCAGAAGCGCGTCTCTGGGTCAATAAATTTGGGCAGCTTGCTTTTCTCACCTGGGGCCGAAGGACATGAGGGTAGTACGTTGTAAGGGAGCATTATAAAGGGTAGCTGTAGTTTTTAGCACTCAGTCTCTTGCTATGGTAAGAAGATAAAATTGAAGCAAGGGTACTTTTGAACTTTAACAGGCTATTGTGCTGTTTGCTGATGGTTATGGTACACCTACTTTCTGTTTTTCAGAACACTGTTTATTGTTAAGTATGCACACATGCACGCATACAGACACAAATGTAAACCTGAAGAATTGTTTGTTCTAATGTGTTTTTAGGGAGTTCTCTTCTTAGGTGTTCTTAATTACTCCTTATAAACTGGCCTCTGATCCCGCAGCTTCTCCATATGTGTACGTAACGTTCATGAGAAAGCATCAATTAAAATAAAACTGCTGCAAGATTTTAGTTGGTGATTTATCACAGTGCTGGTTTCTTGCTTTCATTAGTGATTCCCTTGGTGATTCCCTGGGCAGTCGGCAAGCAGACTGGTGAGATACCTGAACGAAGGACTGGACACCAAGGCTTGCCAGGGTTCAGCCAGATAATCCCTCCTTCCATGAAAGGCCTGTTGAGCGATGAGCTTGCCTTTTTCCTGAACACAGTCACATTTTCTCTCTTGCCTATGCAAATTTAGTCCTTCATAAGCATTAAACACTAAATCAACTTAAGTTTTCTAGTTCCTAATGCTTTGGGGGAAATACTTTTCATATCTACAAAAACTTCTCTAACCATAGCCTAAATAGACTTTTGTCTCTAATTCAGCTGATAAATATTCTACTCCCCTGTGCGTTTTACTTCTCCTACACAGTAGAAACTGGAAAGAAAGGAAAGTATTGCTTTGCTCCTAATAAAGCCTGGTGCAGTTTTTCTGTCCAGGTGCTGCAGTCAGTCTACCTAGAAACAAAGCCCCACACTGCTTACAGTGCAATTTACTGTATAATAATTCCACACTGCTTTCGGGTTATTGTTCAGAGAGCCATGGGAAGCAATTGCTTCACAGTTGAAAAAGGAAGTGCTACAGGTAGAGCAATAGATACTTGCAGTTTTTTTTGTTTTTGTTTTTGCAATGGAAGGATGGCAAAAATCAACGTCCCTCATTTTTAATGATTTCAAACTTAGTCCTCACTCCTATAAGGGTCACCTCTGTGGGTGCTGCTGTAGGAAGGAGTTACTGTGGCCCAAAGACATCATTTGAAAAAGTGAAAACATTAAACCGTGGGGCCAGAGCAGTAGAGGTGTGAGAGTGTTTCCCAGTTCCTCTTCTGCTCCCATGTATAGGGATGAATCTGAAGAGTCTAGAAAAATTGTAAGGAAAGGGCTGCTGGGAAACTGATGGTGAGAGAATGGGTCCAGGGCTGGCGTAGAGGTGGCAACTGCATGCTCGCTCTGTTTGGAAGAGGCACTTCATTTCTCTGATTTCCCTTGCTGCCAGAAGAATGCCTAATGAGTCCCAAGACTGTTATAAAATAGCTTTTCCTCAACTGTTTTCTTCAGGCCTTTCGTAACAGCTGCTTTTTAAGGAGGATAAAACCTATGACTATGAGCTGGTAGCCAAAGCAGCCTTGTGATTTATTCGTACCCATCTTATAGCTAAATGATGCCTTGCACACATAGCCGTTTAATAAATGCTCATCTATATAGAAAACGGCAGGCTATAAATTCACAAAAGAACAGATTTTGTACACCGCTTTTAATTTAAACAGAAAGCCTTTTTGTACACTTGCAAGAACCTAAAATGTAAAGTGGATTACAATGTACATTCTCCTAATTGCATTCTTCTTGCCTCAAATGGGTTCTTTTGCCTCTCATTGTGCTTCCAGGAACTTGTGAAAGTTATCCTTTTAGCCAGTAGGTGTATTATTATCTTTCCAACTTCACACAATGAAGAAGTGAAAAGCAGCTTGGAAATAAAAAAGGTTTTGTCTTTTGAGTGGCTGCACAGTACTACACATTGCTGGAACGGTGACAAGCTCTTGGCTGTTGTGCAGATGTTGACAATATAGCTTGAAGTACAATTCTGTTCTTCATTCAGCTGTCTTTGCATCTAGGAAAGGGGAGGGAAGAAAGGGAGTGAAAAGCCCTTTAAGGCTTTAAAGTGATGAAGATATTCATTCATAAAATTTTACACGTAACCTGCTTCTAGTGAAATAGTCAAGAAAGTGGTAGAATTCTTCTTTTGAAATAAAATTCTGCCTGCTAGGATTACAAACAGGGATTCAGGAAATGCAGAGAATGACTTACAGTGCATGTTAGACAAGTAACTTGATCGTGTCCTGTTGCGAAAAGAAAATAATGGCCACTGCTATGTTAAAATGCTCAAGAGATACTGGTTGCAGTCATCTTTATGTCATAAAGATGCTTCCATAGTGTTGATTTTTATTGTTCTTGTTTCACAATGTAGCCCAGGCTTGCCTCGAACTCCTAGTCTTTATGCTCAGCTTTCTGAGGCTGGGATTACAGGTATGTGCCAGGCTCTTGGGTTATGATTAAACAGATGGGTTTGTACCATTATAAATGTACATGATATTAAGGAAACAGAAACCAGAATTATATTTTTTTGTAGATTTTTCTGCTTCTTTCTAAGTATAATATGATATTCATTTCAAAAATTGAAAGCTGAGTTTCACATAAAATGAGGTGAATCTTTTCGTTCTAAGATAACAAACTGTCTAGGTGCAAGTAGTTCCACTGTCAACAAAGAAACAAAAATTAAGAGCAAAAAGAAGCAGTTGGATCTGTATTAATGTATACTTTCAGATCTATAGGGACCTTGATGGTTGTACAGTTATATGGATACTTATATCTGGCCTCATGACAATCAGGGGACCATGCGGGAAAACATTGAGAATTAGGGCAAATTACGATATCAGATGTTAATGATATAAAAGAGAGTAGAAAAAAAAATTGTATAGTCCCTTTTTAAAAGGTGCAGTGTAAACCCATTATTATTTTCTGGTTGATATTAAATTGAATGATCTTGCCTTTAAAAGACTGATGGGCAAAATAATATAGTTCAGGATGAGATCTTATTTTTGTTTCAGAAATAAAAGTATTCCACAAGTGTCTGGGAATATAGATACAAACATATATTTGAACACAAATGTACAGATTTTGGTCAATTAAGAACAGTATTTGCAGTCACACATTGATTTCTCCCTGAAATTTAGAAAAATACTCATTTATGGCATTTTCCCAATGGGAAATAAAAGAAAAACAGGTTGACAATAAACTATAACCAATATTTAATATGAACAATATTTCTCTGTTGCTTAGAAATGTTTAACGCTAGGTAGTGCACTTTCAGAAAAAGGGTGAATTTCTTAGAACTAAAGAGGAAGCAGCAATGAAAAGAGACTTGATTTGAGTGTGTGTATAGATTTTTTTATCTTATGTAAATAGTGTTAGAATCATTGTGACCCCAGAGCTTATTTTATGAAATGTAGTTGACACAGGGCCTCACAGTTTTCCCAAAAGTAATTTCAAACTCCTGGGTTTAAATGATCTGACTCCTTCAACCTCCTAAGTAGCTTGTACTACAGCCATGCATCACCATGCCAGCTCCTTAGAACTCGTTATAACAACCATGAAAAGAAAAAGTCAAGGGGAAGAGGAGCCAGATTAGAAATTTAAGACTCAATTAGTCATGCTTGTTAAAATATTATGTTCCACTCTCAAGTCCTTGCATCAGCATTAAGTTGGCTCACAAGTAAAAATGATTTGTTTATGATTTTGCGTAGGAGTTTGTTTTATACCTTTACAGTGAGTGCATTTGTTGGCCGGAAGGAGAATGCCTACAACTGAGAAAGGGCA